TGTGGTCCTGAGAGGTGTTGGCAGGTGTGTAAACTGACCACAGACACGTGCACACAGTCTGCACTCGCGCACCATAAAATTAATTTCATGTAGTGATGCATGTATCACTGCCTTGAAGTGTCTGTCAGTGATACTGATGTTACCTGTCAAACTATATTCAGCCTTTCTCAGCAGACTCCCTACCTGCGTGGTGAGATTTGTCTTTATGTGCACACTAAACTATAAAATGAACAAAGTTCACAGCTGAACCAGCGTGCTGAGCTGCCCTGAACAAAAACAAGACCCTATAGAGAGGTGTTATCTGTGTGTATTTGCACTCCACCTGCCCAGGTGCTCCACCTTCATTGTTACTGTCAGGAAGGGGTCAGAAGCTGGTTATCACTGTTTGAAGTCCCTTCAGAGCAGAAGGAGACACTTTATACCTGCGCTTCACTTCAGTGTTGCATGATCTCTGTGTTTACACATCCGGCTGCGTGTGCCTGCGACTCCTAATTAACTCGGCTGCATGCAGGCTCCACTTCCTATTTGTGGTCTGATGTCCCCTGGTTTTTAATTACTTCAGCCCTGGTTCCTATAAAACACTCATCTTTGATTAAACACTGTCCTTGTTGCAAATTTAATTTTAATTGGTTACTGTACAATATGTACTATGCTGTACGTGCCCCCGGACAGGTTCTTGGCCAAAGTCCAGCTGTAGTATGGTCTGTCTGGAAGCATCTGTATGGTAAGAATACACACCGACATATTTGGAGCAGTTGTCTGAAAACAGCTATAATGCTACGTGTTTTTCTCTATTCCCTTTTCAAATTTTCTTTGTTGTGGTTATTGTGTACTTTTCATCGATTGCTCATTTTGGTTTCTTGAACACCTCCTCTGTCTTGACTTGTAATATGTCAAGATGAAAGGTGGTGTTTTCCTGGCTCCACCCCTCAGGGTCAGCCACCACAGAAACAAATTCATCCTATGTTAAGTCACTTTGATAAATGTGAAGTATTTATGAAATGCAGTCTAATTATCATTCCAAAACATGACAAATCGAAAGCAGGAAAACGATCTGAGTTATTGTGGCTGATGTATTATGGAACAAACACACCCACTTTACTATAGTATTGTACCACTTTGTAACGGCAGATTTAATAACTTACTGCAAAGTAAAAAAACTGACTGGTCCACAACAGCCTCAACATTTACAAATGATCCGTCATTCTCAGTAAGGACAACTCTTAAACTAAGTTAGATTTTAAGATGGGAATACAATCTCATGGGAAATGAACATGAACACGGTTGGTATTTGTCTTTTTGTGTTTTTTTTTTTTTTTTTTTTTCCCCTGTAGTCGTTTTGGGTCTCTTTGTGGTTGTTTTGTGTCTTTTATCAGGTTGACATTTAACTTCAAACAGAGGCACAGGCCCAGGAGCCCCCTATACGTTGGGCCCCTGGGCCTGTGCCCACTAGTCCTGTTCAGTAATTCATCTATTGACATAAAAATTACAACAAAGCTGATGCATTTCAGCTTTGAGTGCTGATCAGTGACAAACACAGAATCAGTAGAGCTATCTGAGCAAATGTGCACATTGAAGTGTGTATTATGGAGCAGACATCCCCTGTCAAAGGTGACACTAACTAGTCTGTTAGCCAGTGACCCGTCCACTTTCACTGGTGAATAAAAATTCACATCCCTTCATTTTTGTCTGTAATGTTTTGCAGAATTTTTTCAGGCCTTGAGAGGAGGGGCTGCTTCCTTGTATTTGTCACTCTTGGAGCAGGACTGACGAGCCCCCCCACACCTCAGGATGTGCAGCTTTGCCATAATGCTCCTGAAGCATTGATTTAACATTCTTCTGACCACCGCTGAAGAGAAGTAGAAGATAATTGGATCGAAGCAGGCGTTGAAGGTGCTGCAGAGCAGCGCCACGCTCCTCCAACACTCATCCTCGTGACGGACGTATCCCACCACATGGGAGGCGTTGTAAGGTCCAAAACACACAGTGAATACTATCAGTGTGCTGAGCACCAGACCAATGGCCCGCAGCCTCCGGCGCCTGCTGACGTTTGGAATACGTGACAGGATGAGGATGAAGTTGGTGTAGCAGAAGCAACAGATTAAGAAGGGGATGCAGAAGAGAAAGAGGAAGAGCTCCAGGCGGACCGGCAGCAGGATAGCGAGTTCGTCCTCGGTGAAGTTCTGGTAGCAGGTAGGTGGAGGGGTGGGGCTGTTGGACTTGTTTTCACTCTTTTCACCTTTGTGCCACTGGGTGTATGGCATGATGTAGACGATGCTGAGGTTCAGAGAGGTCACCACCCAGAATGTGATGCTGGCCAACACAGCGTAGCGAGGCCTGCGACATAAAGCATACCTGAGGGGGTAGGCAACCCCCAGGTAGCGCTCCACACTCACAGCTGTGAGGACCAGGGTGCTGTTGTAGATGGTGACGTAGAAGGGGAAAATACTGAAGGGACACAGGGGGTAGGGCAGTTGCCAGGCCATGTTGTCTGAGGCCTCCTTCATTTTAAAAGGCAGGATAGCCAGGAAGATGAGGTCAGAGATGGTGAGGTTAAAGAGGAGGATGTCAATTGGAGCTGCTCTGCGGCGCACCTTGCGATAGAAGGTGCAGAATGCCAGGATGTTGGCAGGGACCCCCAATAGGAAGGTGAGGATGTAGCCAGAAAGCAATAGGAGACTCCACAGACTGCTGTGGACACACTCTGACACTGGACAAAAGAAAACATGAATCATGATCAATAAGGGCAAAGAACAGGAGCTAGATTCTAATGAATCTCTGATCACCAGGAAAACTAATAATATAAAGGGTGTTTCTTAAGTTTGTTCTCAACGATGCCAGGGTGTGGCTAAGATGGCAAAGTCAGGTGGTCCCCACTTGTCCAGACTGAGCTATGTCAACAACTACTCCATTACCAGGAAGTTCTTTACAGGATATTCATGGTCCTGAGCAGGTGAATGCTCATGAAAAGGAGGGCCGGAGAGGATCACTGCAGACCCCTCACACTCTGGACACAATCTGTTTGAACTCCTCCCCTCTGGACGGTGTTACAGGTCACTGTGCACCAAGACAAACCAGGCACAGGGACAGTTTCTTCCCCCAGGCCATCACTCTGATGAACACTTAACCAACGGCAGTATGACTGGACAATAACCCTCAGTGAAATACCTGTAACTATACCTCGTACAGATTATACAGATTCGTACAGGTCTCTAGTTTTAAGTACTCTGTTTTTATCCCTATTTATCTCACTTCAGTGAACATTCCTTTGTTTGCATTGTTTACTGCCTGTTAATACTGCTTATTTTGTTATATTACACAGCCTTATGCTGGTTTACTGTTTACTTGCCCCTTGCATTGGGCCGATGTACCAGAGTCAAATTCCTCGTGTGTCCAACACACCTGGCCAATAAAGCTGATTCTGATTCTGATGATCTTGGTGATCCCCTGACTCCCCTAGTACCACCATGAGGTTGACATTTGTAGTTTTGAATGAGATGTCTCAATAAATATTGGAAGGGCAGCCACTAAATCTGATGGATATTTTGATGTTAATCGGCTCAAATTTTAATTTGTCCAGTACTTTGGTTTATGACCAAATGGTTACAAAACTAACATTACCATCAGTTTCACCTGAACTCCATTTCTAGTTCTAATTAGCAAATGTTATTATGCTAATGAGCTCAATCATGTGTCTGGTAAACATGTTTTCATTGTCAGTGTGAGCATGTTAACACCGTTGTTAAACTATTTTCCAGAAGGAAACCTCACATGTGCACACAAGCCATACAACTACATTAATCTAAAGCTTTTTAAGAAATTTTTTTTCAGATTCTAAGGAAACAGGTCGGATTGTAAGTTCTCTGTAAAGGAAAAGGGTAATTTCTAATAAGTTTTTTTCCTCTAAATTAAAATAGTTGAGACACGCCTAAGCAGGTCAACTCTAAGCAGTATTACCAGTAAAAGACCAAAGCCAACAACGTGCCAGTCTGTTTCTCAACTACACTTCTTTGTCCGTGGCTCTCAGTTCACCCACTGGTTCATCCTGAAGAAGTACCTCTGGACAGAAGTACTAAAACAGCTCACAAACACATTTAACAACACTAGATACTTTCCTCAAACAACCGGACACTGTAGTTTTAATTAACCATTTGCTGGGGACTGTAGTGAATATTTTATACAGTCGGTAATCCACACAAAAACAAAACCGTTTGAGACACCAAGTCACCCAGTGATGTGACACACATATGTTACCAGACTTTAAATTCACAGACGGTACTTCTTAAATTATCACCCACTAAATGTTTGCAAGTACCAAACATAAAAAATAAAGTACTGAATTGGACCATTCAGATACTTTAGAGGACATAGGTAAATTATGTCCTTTAAAGAGTTATTTATTAAAAGTGTGATTAACTCACTTTTGTCAAATTTGAAAAGCCAGACTCTCCATTACTGTGGGCTGTCCTGTCGGATGCTGCTGGCCGTGTGCTTCGCTGCCTGGAAATAAACTGTTTGGTCATGACCTACTGGATATCTGCTATCTTGGCTCCAATAGCGGAAATTTAATGAGTTGCACAATGTTTGTTCTTTACACTGCCCAAACAATATCTCCCAGCAACCACATAAAAGCTTGGTACGACGTAGTTGGAACTGTGAGCTAATAGGTTTTTGTCTGACACAGGAACAGGGAAATGTTGACATCAGCTGCAGCATCGTACAACAGAGCATTGTCTTTTTTTTTTTTTGTCTGTAGCTCCCACCAGAGGGCAGAGCACAAGAATGCAGAGCTATTCACTCTACAGCCTCCTATAAAAAATTTGTCAGTTCTACTTTGTAGCACAACTTTATTTACAGATGAGATTGAAATGACGGCTCCAGGACTTCATGATATATGAGGGTTTACCTTTATCTGAGTTGAACACAGTAAGATTGCATAGCCAAAATTGTCTTTTTTTTTTTTTTTTTTAAATAGTGGTTTTGCATTATACATGATACATACATAAAAATACAAGTCAAAATAATCAAGTCCAGCTGTAAATGTGCATAATTAATACGGAAAAAACTTAAGTTACACAGAATAATTTTAATAAATGAAACCAAACTTTATAGATGAAAGATGCTTAAATGAGTCAAATGAGTCAAAGGCAAATTAAAAACCAAAACTGAAACTTCACTGTACAACACTCAGGCAAATGTTACAAAACAGACAAAAGTTACTTTATATTAGCTTCAAAACAGAATCAACAGCTACACCAGTGGTTACTGCAATGGAACACACAGTGGAACACAAGTCTCTACCTGTTATCCATGACATTTATCCCAGTTCTGGCTTACAGGTGTCGATGTCAGAGTGCAAATCAAATGGGCTGAGAGAACAGAGCTGCAACTCCTCTGTGGTCCGACACCCAGCCTGTTTATATCTCCATCCCTCCCATCTACACCCTTTTTATACTGCCTGTCTACACAACAACACTCTCAACAACAAACCTGCGATGACTCTGCAGCATGGTGCCAAATTACCTCTCTGATCTGAACTGGTGGAGGCTGAAAATTAAAAATGCATCAACACCAGGTTTGCGCCGACTCACATTAATATCAGTTGATGCCATTAACCACTATAAATTATACGTTCAGTATATGTGTTCAGAAACACTAAAATCATTTGTGTGTCATTAGTTAAAATAGATTGCCCATTATCGTAATTCTGACCAAATGCTTTATTTTTTTAAGTAGCTTTTTTTTGGCTTTTATTTATTATCATTTTTAAGCTGGGTTACAGAGAGCCAGGCAGGAAGCAGGGGAGAAGACCCGCAGCAAAGCTCAGCAAGGATACTCGAGCCGCTAATGTCACGCACACACTGTACCTGAGTATATGTACCATTCAGGTATTGGGGGTGCTCTGCCAAATTTTAAGTCAAATTCATACATAAAAGCATTTCCAAACAACCCATTTTTGTTGCCAGTAGCTAAAACTAAGTCACTCTAATGCAACAATCTGGCAATAAATCCTCCCTTTGTGACAGTGTTAGTGTTCAGTTTTGTTGAAACTTGGTTAGAGAGGTGTCGATACAACTGTATGATCATTTTGAGGCTGTAATTTGTGCTGCTGTTGAACTGCACTGAATTATACAAACATGTTTCTATTATTTTGTCCACCTAAATCATGTTAGCTACAGTAAACATGAGGGTAAATAACAGAACCACCTCTCTGTATAAAACAGTAAAACAAACAAAAAAAAACTACAAAATAATTTTCCTAAATGATCATACATTTGAATCAACACCTTCACGTTTTCAGCAAAAACATGGTCTGCTTAATTGTAGCTAGGTGTACCTAATAAACTGACAAATGAGTGTATAATTAGATATAAGATGCCCTTACAAAGTAATAATCATTACAAAATTATTTGTAATGCTTTTCTTGTAAAACTCTATTGTATATAACATTAATTTCTGTTTCTTTAGTAAAAGTGGCTGTCATCTATCTTTGACTTCACCTTCCAGCCGTGTGTCGTCACCCACAGGGAGTTAAATATTTAACACATTTGACATAACAATCAAAACACCAGGTATAATGCACTTTTAAACATCATACTTTATTTTGAGTGCCACTACAGAACATTTTACAAAGCACAAATACTTTAGAAACCAGCCAATCAATGAATGCACAATTTATTGACATGTACAATTAAATTCAAGCATCAAACTGTTGATAAAAGGGTATTTTTGAGGTGTCACAGTAGGAAAAGCACAGGTGTAACTAGTGATAATAATAGGCTTCTCCGTTCAGCTTTGCCTGTTATGTCAACACTCTTAATTGTGCACATGTGAGAAAACACTCAACACTTTCCAATGGAAAACACGACATATTTTAAAGTCAAAGACACAAGATGGAGCCATTTGTTGCCAAACTAGCTACCTGACATAAGGTTCAGCATGGTTTTCCTCTGACTTATAAAAACACAAGCCTTATTGAATTAAATGCACTTCTTCAGTTTCAAACACAAGCAGATTTCCCTGGTTAAAACCATGGATTTCAATGTCTGCTTAATTCATTTTTAGACAATCAGCCACTCTCAGTGTAAGAAACACTCACATGAAAAACCCCATGAGGCACTTTTTTTTTAATCATCAGCAAAAACACTGATGTAGCACAGGATCCATCTCAGGTCAGACCTTTTGTCATCAACTTTTTTTCCTCAGAAATATTTGATTTAAAGAAAAAAACCTGATGGACTCATTGTGATGCAGCTCTGATGAAGTCATTATACCTTGAAATAACAGGCACAGAGATATATCACTGGGATTATCTTGGTTCATCTGTAGGGAGGAGGTACACTGAATTTGGCCAGGTAGCAGCAGTGATGTTACATTTTCTGGGGCTGATGGAAGGCACACCTGAAGAATGGACATCTTTTCTCAGACTATTTTGTCCCATTTCTCCTTTTGGATTTGAGAAAAATTGAGATCTCCCTCCTGACTTACTTTTAGTCATCTCTGCCCCCACCTTGCTCCTCTCAGAGAGTGTAGGTGGTACCCTGACATTTGCAACACTGTTGGCCATATTACGTCGATGCCTATATCCCTCAGTCCGGCTGAAGTGACTTTGCCGTCCACAGATTCTTCCCATGATGCCCCTCGACACTGCTGGTGACAGCATCAGCATGACTACAGGCTCCAGGAAAACATTACAGATGCTTGTCAGCATAGCATATCTCCTCCACTCAACACTTTGCTCCAGCACAAACCCCACAACATGTGAGGCATTGTAGGGTGCGTAGCACACCACAAACACGGCAAGCGTGGAGAGTGCAACAGTCAGAACTCTTCTCTTCCCCATAGGCTGTAAATGTGAGCGCCATACCAGGGTAACACAGCGAAGCGTGCAAAAGGATGTCACAATCAAAGGCAAGAAAAACAAAACGATGGACATCTCCAGGCGTAGAGGCAGCAGAACAGCCAGCTGGGACTCATTGAATATGCCATAGCAAGTTGAGGTGACACCACTGGTGGAGACAAAGTAAGCCCCTTGTTCAGCCACCAGGGCAAAGCTGAGGTGTAGTATCACCAATGCCCAGAGGACAATGCTGATGAGGCAAGAGATTCGAGCATGGCGGTACCTCTTGTAGATAATGGGGAATGCGATGCTGAGGTAACGCCCCACTGTCACAGCGGTGATGAAAAGGCAGCTGCCGTAGAGGGAGGAGAAGAGGAAGAAGCTGTAAATAGGGCAGACAAGTGGTGGTAGCTTCCAGCCCCTAAAAGTCTCCACAGCCTTGATGGGCAGCCAGGCCACGAGTGCCAGGTTGGCCAGGCAAAGGTTGAAGGCATAGACCACATTGGGTGTGGTGCCGCGCTTGCAGGCCTTGCGTACATACACGAAGAGGACCAACAGGTTGGCAGGAAGGCCCAGCAGAAAGGTGAAGGTGTAGACAGAGAGAGCGATGCAATCTTGGACCTTCAATTGCATCTCTTCAGTTTAGGAAACAAAGTCCAGGAAAACAGTCGCACTTCCTCCAGTTTACCATCAAAAGGATAATTCATCAGACAAACTGAAGCTGACAGGAAAGTCTCAACCTAGGACAAGCTAACAAATGGATTATTTCACGTGCTTCCATTTATAAACTACTCTTTCAAAAGACAGATTCTCCATTCATGGCAGCAACTACATGTCATTTTCCAAGCTGGTAACGAAGCTCCTGTCCTCCCTCTGTCATGCACAGACTTAACTCTGAAATAGAAACAACATGTTTGAGACAGAAGACAGAAAAAAAAACAGATGTGGTGGCCACAAAGGTGCTGATGCATGTGGGAGTGAAGGGGGCGAGGTGCACACGACATCATGGCAGAGATGCAGATAAGGAGACGAATCCACTCATGCAGAAGTATGGGGTATTTAGCAGGCACCGAGCTGCCTTAATTGCCCTCTCAGTTTAGGATAACAGACAGGTAGCATCTGGGCCCTTAAGTGAAATGATTCAGAATAATCCAGCCTGTCAGGAAGCACATGGCCATGACCTTAAGCTGGAGGCTGTCTAAATGAACTGAAGGGCCAGGCAATAAAGTCATAAATGAGACGGTCGATGTGAGGAGAGGACGGGTCAGGCTCAGAGAAACTGTGACTTTTTGTGGCATGAAGGCGCTTCTCACAGTTTTAAAGTGGAGAATGAGTTTCTTAGTTTGTGTAAGAGTGAGAGTGTGAGATGAGTGGGTGTGTCGCCCAAAAGGCTCTGGGTGAAGCAAATGGAGCAGAAAAACAAAGCAGACTGACAAACACCAAGACCAGACCTGCAGCAGTCCACAACATGGCTGCTAGTTGTTTGATCAGGCTATTGATCCAAATTTCAAAACAAATGTGTGTAATATCTAGCCTCCTGATTTCTTGACATGGATGTTTGCAGGTCGTTGACGGCATATTTACTTTATTTTTTACCCGAAGTGAAAGTGACATCAGCCTTCATTTACTTTTCATAATTCTTCTGTTTTGTTTTTCAGGGAGTCGGGGTATTTCTAACACAGGGCCCGTCGATTAGCGCCAGCTAAGACATCAATAACAGACTTTGCCTTTTTAGCACATTTATTTGATCACCTCAATAATTAATTTTGAGCAAGTGAATTAAGTAAGAAAACCACAGTGTCAACTTTAATTCTCCTACATTTCAGAACTAAACTTTCTTTCGTTAAAATACTAAGAGCTAAACCTGTTAGATTCATAGTAAGACTCCTTTAATTAAAATGTTATTATTCTCTTGTAACTCGTTTGAAATGCATCTTGAGGCCTTTCCATCCTTATGTGGTTCAGTGAAACAAGTAGGTAAATAACTTAATATAAATACATACATTTTGTTCATTTTGAGTTAATTTAACTTAAAGTTCATGGTTTTTATTTACATATCGCTTCAGAACTTACAAAAACGAGTTGTTCGATGAAGGTTAGAATTCAGTCCCAATCCTCTGACACTTATAATTGAACAAAATCACTGTTAGCAGCCATGTGTGTTGTCTTTGTACTGACCCTAATACAAAGTGAATTTTCTTTCACAGCAAATTCAATATTCACAACAATCTGCTCCAGTTAAGTTTCTTCTTGGAAACTTAAAAACTAAACTTAAAAATAACATACAGCATAGACCATAGACCATAAGCATGGTTTTATTAGATCCAACCTTGAGAGACAACACACAGACCACACATTTTTTTAAAGCCCATCTACACCCCTATAAAAAGCAGTGACTCACACAAACACATCTATTAAGACACAACCACTGACGCAGGTGAGAGTTACAAGGGTTTATTGCCTTAGGGACCCTGTTTAGAGCCTGTTTACCAGATTTTTTTTAAAGTCTAAACCATGTATACTGTATGAGTCAAAGTTCTCGCCATTATCACCGTCTTCATGCTCCAAACAGCATCCGATGATCAAACAATATAATGAAGCCAAACAAAGCCATTAAAGCTAATGGTCAATAAAAGCAGTGACTTCACCGGACACAAACACGAGCACTTTAACTTGTGAATTTTTGTAGCAGCCACTACATTCTAAAATAGATGACCTCAAATGCATAAATACAGGAGATGGCCCTGATGAGTGAAGGTTTAAATGAGGCCAGGGGGTAAACATGTAATCCACATTTTAGAGATTGTTTGTGTAATTTCGTGTAAAAGTTAAACACACACACACAAAGTCATTGATCACAACTAAAAGCAGATTGGGTCAGGAGAATATGTTTGGCAAGAGGGTGACAGTTCTTCAAATAATAAAATAAAATTAATAAATGAAGATAAATAAAATACAGAAAAGATGATTCATTTTATTTGTTTTGCTTATGTCATTTCCATTACTTGTTGACAGATGCAGGGCTAGAAACATGGTGAATGAATGAGTCATCCTTGTTTAATTAAAACGCCTTCCCTTCACAAACATGGGCACTGTCTTCTTACTGAGCCAGCAGCTGCAGGTTGCTCCTCCCACTGGAGTTTGTGAGCGGGACCAGCGGCACTGGGGTTTTATCAGCGCCCGAGGTTGACGAAAGGCGGGTGCGTGTGTTCATGCTTCGTTGTTCCAAAGATAAAGCTTCCTGTTTTCTGGAAAGATCCTTCAGCATGTGGCCATGATGTAGCTTCATCTTTTGTAGAGAGTGCCTGAGTGAGCATGAGATGGGTTTTAGACTGATTTCATTCCTCTCTGGTTTGAATGAGCAGATAAATAAAAACATGTATAATATCAGCTCTTCTTTGTTATCATAGTAACAAGACAAGACTCACTGAGCCTCAGACAGCTTTTGCTTCAGGGCCATGACCGTGTCCTCCAGCTGATGGACTTCATCAACGAGCCCATGCTGAACCTGAACACATACAGGAAAGAGAAGAGATCAGTCAGGACGAAGCACATCGACTGCTATTGCTAATATTGGTATCCTTGAACTACTACAGTATATCTTATAAATGAACCTCGTCTCTGCACAGGTCCATGCCAGGTCTGTTGGTCCGATTCTCCAGTCTGGTGTGAGCCAGTTTCAGGGGGGCTGTTTTGGCCTGCAGATCTGCATCCAGCCCATGGATGTCAGCCTCCATTTCTGCCATTTCATCTTCAGTCTAGAGACAGATGCACAGTCAGAAACACTTCATTATAAACACAAATATCTCGCTTGCTGTGACCCCTTCATGCCTAATCTCAAATCTACAGATCTCTCTTACATTTCTTATTTGCCACTCCAGCTCATCGCAGGCCTGCTCTTCATGGTGATGACGCTTACGAAGTGCAAACTCTGTGGCCCTCTGCTGAGTCTCCAAGTCATTCTGCAGCTGAGATACATAGGAAAACAAAAGAGACCAATAGAAATTATAAAATAAACTTTAGAATCATATTTTGTATTTCTTTCAGTCTGAATGATTTTGCAAAAGGTCTGTAATATTGTTGTTGTGTCGTAGCATTGTTGCTAAGGGCCACGAAGGAAAATGCTGCAAATAAAAAAAGCTACTATCTGCGCCCCATGTGCAATATAGCATTTGTACTGTAAATACAATATGGCCAGGTGTAGTTACTGTACATTACACCCACCTGGGCTCTGCTGAGACTCATGTCCTCCCTCATTTGCTGGGACACCTGCATGGCCTCCTGGGCACGAGCAACATTATACTGGCTGAACTGGACCCACTCCTGGGGGGTGGAGGAACTATAACAGTGACGATGACAGTTCTGCATTTTAGCTATTAGGGCGCGAGTTAACCAAGAAAGCTGCAAACCAATGTATTATTCTACTGCATTCAAATTTCTCTAGTATACGTATATTGTGCAATGAGAAACTTATCAGCAGTTGTGTGTCAAAATCCCATAAATCAGTGATCTAAGAGTTTTAGCAAAGATGTGATGTAAAATTGACAGAAACCACTGCTGTGTCTTATTTTTCTGTTATGTCAGACACCCTCACACCCCAACGTTACCCTGGTGGTATGCGAGTTGGGTTGGTCTTCAGGGAGATGTGAGGTGACTTTATTGTAAGTGAGAGGCAGGACATATCAACATCCAGTGCATCCATCTTGTTCTGAAGGTCAGCAGTCAACTGGTGCCGAGCCTCCTGCAGAACACTAGGAACAGGCATACAGAAAGGTGGTCGGTGATTTTATTTTATTTTATTTTTTTACTTCATACAGTAATGCATCACACTGTAGCATCCCATACCACAGCTGTTCGAAGGCTTTGTCTATGTGCTGCTGCAGAATCTGCTGCACGTTTTCAATGAGCTCCACTTCTTTCTTCAGCTGCTCGTCCACAGGGTCGGCGACCAGCTCATTCCCGCACCGTCCCTCCCTCAGCGTCAGACACTCGGTGCTGACCTCCAGAGGGATGACAGTTGCAGCCAGGGCCTGCTCAGTCTGCTCTTTAGCCTGTCCCAACACACGCCAGGACTGAGGTTACTTCACTGTCAGCTCAGTCTGACTCAACCGGTGAAGTTTGCCAGAGGAGAACAAAGTAACACCTACATGCTCACAAGTATGATAGTTGTCTGTTGAAGGGAAACTACTTACACTTTAAATTTTGATTGGATATGAAGAAAACTGATTCTACACCTAAGACAAATACACTCACACAGGTATAAAAGTATAGAGACTCTAGGTCTTTCTTTACAAAGGCTGGCATCTTTGCACTATTATGAACACAAATTGCAATTCTCTCTTATTTGTTTCAGAGATTCTTGGACAAATCACCAGGGTCAGCGCTTCCATCTCTTCATCCACTTTCTGGGCGCAGCCTTCCAGTGCTTCTTTCCACCGAGCAACATCCCAGATCCGGTCACTCAGTCTGCGAGACGTATTGCTCTCATCCCAGGTTGTCTAAAAAGAAAAAGGAGCACTGATGAAATGTGGAGAAAGGAATTTGTGGACGGTATGTTGTGAAACAGAACATCATTCAGTCATTCATCCTGTAAACACATTGTTTATATTGCTGGTAGGTATCCTGACAAAACAAGAACCCACCTTACAGTTGGACTCGTTGCGTAGTGACCTCCCTTCTTGTCGGACTGCATTAGAAATATGTCGCTCATGTTGAGCTATAGCAGACAGCTGGTGGTTGTTGCTGTGCCACTCTGACACGGTGTGGCGCAGACCAGGCTTTGCAGGAAGTGTGGACATTCTACTGCTGCTGCAACATGCAGACATTTCTATCACTGTATTTGTCATGTACAACTAACTGTGTAGGATTTGTTTTGGCAAAACCTTTACATAGCTATACATACCCTTGAGTTTCATAACATGATACAACGCCATTATGCAGCACAAATGGATAGTGAGATTGCAAAGCAATTTTGGAATTATTATTCTATACATTACAAATAATACAAGCAATTTTTAAGGACAGCAGTAGACATAACTACAAACAATGTTCTTAAAAAAAAGCTCATCTGAGTTTCATGTTTTCTTTCTTTATCTTGCCGAGGTTAAGGCCTAACTTGAGTCTTATTGAGCTCAATCTCAAACATCGCGACAAGTTAAAATCTCATTTAAAAGTTTCTTGACTTGGAATTTTACTCACCGGAATTCCAGAATATCCCCACAGGCGTCGCGTGCTGGTTTTCCGCACGAGGTCAACTATAGCAACGGC